ATAATAGGTCTATGACAAAAAATTAATCAACGTAATTTAAGAAACTATCAAAATCATTAGTATATCAGTTGACATCATCTTAGTCATATTGCAAAATATAAAATTCATCTAGTATTTTTTGATGGCTTGCCCAGTTTACACTATTCAAAAAATTTCATTTTAATCTGACCTCTTTTAATCTGTCACATTTATGAATACGCAAAAATAAGACTTAGGATTTGGATAGTGATGGATTATCGCAAGCGATAAGTTTGATGCTTAAACAAATGAAAATGATATATTAAATTTGGAAGAAAACCAATATACTAAGGTAATCATATGAATAATTATTTTAAAATTTCAAAGAAAAAAGGGAATAATAAAGTAGGAAATTTCAAAAGTTGTTAAGAAATATAGTAGATATTTTAAGAACTAATTTTTTATTATTATTTTTTTTATTAAGCTGATGATTAACAAAGAATGCTTCGAAATATCCACATTTAGTGAGAATCAGGTCACAAAGATTTTCATTAATATCAATTATAAGCGTAATTAATTATTAACAAATCACCGAAACCACAGCAAAGAGAGAATAAATAATAACTTCTTTGAAAATAACGAGGAAACCAATAAACAATTTCCTGATTCACAAGCTAGTAGTACCGATGATCAATTTTAAACTATAATATGGACCAGCGTGATAATGAACGTATTAATGACAATCAAGTAAGAAAGAAAACATAAGGAATTTGAATATTTTCTGTAATTAAGTTAACCAACCTAAAATCTAAAATATCATTTACAAATCATAAATTTTAGTAAGATGAAAATAATGGAATCTATGTCCAATAACCAGCCGCCAATCAATGTTATCTCAGAAATGCTTGAACAAACGACTCTAGCAAACAATAGTACACAAGCCGATGACATTGAATCTACGATCATGTAGAAATTTTCAACTAATCAATTAATAAATTCAAAAGTAAATTATTAGTATACATTATTGCCAACAAAAATTTTCATACTGGACGTTTAAACCCCACTCACAAGAGTTCCTCCTGGAAATTGGTACTGTAAGGAGTGTAAAAGCGAGAATTCAAAGAAATTGAAACGTACAATGCTACTTGAATATTCAAGTTCAGATGATATTGATAATCAAAGCAAAATCAAAAAAATATAAGGCACAACAGGATACTTCAGATTCCGACAATGAAGACAGTCAAAGTATAAAAAAAAAAGACAACAAATGTAAAAAAGAGACTTTATCAAATCCTTTAGGTATTATTGTTATAAGGTTTTGGCTAATTTATATATATAATTTAAAAATTTTTTACTTATAAGAACGTATGTAAAAATTATAGAAAAATCAACATAATGATAGTTCTATA